AGGTGGGCGACACCGGCCCTGCGTGTGCCGTGGGTCTGCCCTGCATGATCCTGGCCACCGGGCTCAACGACGGGCAGATCAAGGTCTGGGAGGTGCAGACAGGTGAGCGGCCCTCGCCGACAGCGGGAGCTGTCGTGGCTTTCGGGCTGGTTTCTCTCCTTTTGCTCCCCCGTGGAAGGAGATCCCATCTCTGTCCTTCCCCAAATGCTTCCCTGGGGGTGAGCAGCAGTGCCCCAGCCTTGAGGGGCACTGCTTCGTTCCCCATGCTGGGACAGCACTCAGCATGTCCCTTCTCCGCAGGACACCTCCTCTTCAGCCTCTTGGGGCACCAGGACGTCGTCAGAGACCTGAGCTTCGCTCCCAATGGAAGCCTCATCCTTGTGTCGGCCTCACGGGACAAGACTTTGCGTGTCTGGGACCTGAGCAGAGACGGTAGGAGCATGTGGGGACATCCCCGGTGCTAGGTCAGCCCCGGCTGAGGCTGGGCTCTGCTGCGGGAAAGGGCAGGGAGAAACCCACCTTGGTGGGGGAGATGGTGGAGAGGATCTTTGGGGACAGTATTGAAGGCAGAAGGGGACAGTCCTGCGATGTGGACCAGGTCCATCCCCTTCCAGGGTGGGGTCTGTGAGGTGCAGGAGGGGGATGCAAGTCGACAGAGAGCTTGAGATCTGCCGGGGAACCCCCCAGTCCCACTGCATTCCCTCTTGGGAGAGGCAGCAGAGAGCAGGGGCAGGGCCCGGCGCCACCTCTCGTGACTCCCGTGTCTGCCGTCCCCAGGGCGGCAGGTCCAGGTGCTGACGGGCCACGTGCAGTGGGTCTACTGCTGCTCCATCTCCCCAGACTGCAGCATGCTCTGCTCCGCGGCTGGAGAGAAGTCGGTGAGTCCCATGGGGTGGAAGCCATCCCACATCCTGCAGAATCCAGCGCTCCTCTCGGCCCTCTGTGTCCCCACCACGCGAAGAGCCCCCATGGGAGAAGGGGCCAGGCCAGAGCCATCCTTGCTGCATGGAGGAGCTGGGACCAGAGCCCATGAGACTTAAACCCCGAGATGCTTCTCCTCCGCTCCCACCTCGGGGATGCTCCCAGCCTCAGCCCGTGTCCCGCGTCCCACAGGCGCTGCTGTGGAGCATGCGGTCCTACACCCTCATCCGGAGGCTGGAGGGGCACCAGAGCAGCGTGGTGTCGTGCGACTTCTCGCCGGACTCAGCGCTCCTTGTCACCGCGTCCTACGATGCCTGTGTCATCATGTGGGACCCCTACACCGGGGAGCAGCTGAGGACGCTGCGGTATGGAGCCAGGGCGATGGTGGGGGACTGTGGAAGGGGGACGGAGCAACGTCACGGGGTTTTTTTAGGGCTGAATGTGGCCTTTTCTCCTAGCTGGGCACAGCCACCACCTCTCCTCTGTCTTTGAGGGCTCTGACTTGCTGGGTTTGGTCCCTCTGCCAGCCCTGGAGCATTGGGGATAGGGCTCATGGCAGCCTGGGGCTGATGCTGGGCTTGTTCTCCCCACCTGCAGCCACGTCCCCCTGCACTCGGCGCTGGACTACAGCAGCGAAGTCCACACCAGCTCCCTGCGCTCCGTCTGCTTCTCCCCTGAGGGCCTCTACCTGGCGACGGTGGCAGACGACAGGTGAGTGAACCCCTTCGGGGACCTCCAGCTGGAAGAAGGTCGCAGGAGGACCCCCCTTTTTTTTCCGCAGGACATGCCAAGTGGGGGCCAGACCTCGCCTGCCAGGTCCCCACCAGTGCCCGGCGTAAAGGGAAAGGGCAGGCTGCCCGTGACACCACGGCTTGGCTGTGCCAAGGGGTAGCAAAGCCATGGCACTGTCGCCCCTCTGAGCGATGCGCCGGGACACGTGTCCTCCTCCGTGCTGTGCCCCTTGGTGCAGTCACTGCATCCAGCTCAGCTCTGCAGGCGACAGTGCCTCCCGCCTTGCTGCCGTGGCGTGACACTCCTGGGATGCCCTAAGCCCACGGGAAGAAAATCCTACTCCAGAATTTGCATGCGTTCAGGTGAACCCAGAGGCTTTCTTTTAGCTGCGGGCGCTGCGTGGCTGTGGGCCTGGCATTGTGTCCCCTCCCTTTCTCCTCAGGCTCCTGAGGATCTGGGCATTAGAGCTGCGCTCTCCGGTCGCGTTTGCTCCCATGACCAACGGCCTGTGCTGCATGTACTTCCCACACGGCGGTTTCATTGCCACAGGGTGCGTATGCGGGAGAGGAGAGCGGAGAAGGATGGGCTGCTCCTTCCTGCTGCAGCTCTGGGTGTGCTCAGCAAATTCCGGGCTTCCCTGGGGGGTGTGGGCTGGTTTCCTGGGCTGGGGAATCCATGGTTGCTGCAAGCTCGGGATATTGGAGCTTTCTGGAGTCTCTCCGCCCTGCGCTCACGGTTTGGGTCCCGTTGCAGGACCAGAGATGGCCACGTCCAATTCTGGACCGCTCCGAGGGTCCTCTCGTCGCTAAAGCACTTGTGTCGCAAAGCTCTGCGCACCTTCCTGACGACGTACCAGGTCCTCGCGCTCCCCATTCCCAGGAAGCTGAAGGAATTCCTCACTTACCGGACCTTTTAAGGCAGGGTGGAAAGCGGAGGCGCGGAGGCGAGAGCCCCCTGCCCAGCGGCGGGGCTCGGCCTGGGTCGGAGGAGGCACCGCAGCAACGACGTCTCGCTGATTTTTGAGCCGTGGGGCAGGGTGATTGCTACCCCCCCGAGTGTTGGGGCTCCGTCTGTGAACGTGGAGGGATTTTTTTCGGTGTAATAATACTAGAACCCAGCAAAAGCGCAGCGCGGAGGGCGAGGGGCACGGCTGCGGTGGCCCCGCAGGGGACGCGGGTCCCCCTGTCCCCCTGCTGTCGCCAAGTTTTGGGTCAGGTGCTTTTGCTCCCAAGTGCAATGGTGCGGGTTGGAGGTTGGCAGCTGCAGTCCCAGCGGAGTCTTTGTTGTTTGTACGAGTGTGGGGCTGCAACTGGCCCCGCCAAAACCCCCACTGGGACCAGCTCGGACTGTAGCTTAGTTCCCGGAGGGGCGCGGGCTCCGCTGCTCTCCTGGTCTGGCCGCGAGCTGGACAAACCAGGTCTCTGCGGACTAGTGACAGCGATGACAGAATAAAAAAGATGATTCCTCACATCTTTCCTCTTGGCTCGTAGGGGTGACCTGGGCATACCTGGCAGGACGGGCTCCAGTGGGCTGGGACCCAGGGCCTCCCGCCTTCCCGTCGCGGCC